TGTCGTGAAGACTTGGACTGTTCTAAAGCGATCAAGTACTTCCGGAATTAAAGGTAGTGGAATTTGTCTTTAATAATTTCTTATTTAATTTCCGATAGTCATAATAACGTTTCGAATTATTACGCTTGTTACACAAAACAATAGGCGCCGAATAATTAGAATTGCTAGGCTATTATGCCCTCTTTCAAACATTCCTTAATTTGATCGTCAACAATTTTTTGTTCCGCGAAAGACATGTATCTTTTATTTACAGACAGAATATCATCGCATAAATTTATTTGCATCTTAAAGTCAGATTGTCTATTTTTCCGAGGCTGGTACGAATTAATTAAATGACACAGTCTTTCTTTATGTTCTCCATTCGAAATATGCGATAATTCAATAGCATGCACCAGATGTGAAAGGTAATTAAACGTCGAGCCACTTCCGCTTTCGGGGTTTTTGTTTACATTCACAGAGACGCTAGGCGATTGAGAAAGATCATAAACATTTTTCAATGACACAGCACTATTCAAATTTCCCATAACGCAATGAACATTAGCATTTCGATATGACTCAGCAGTTATCACGTTTACATTGCTTTTATTCCGATGAGAAATTATTGGAAGGCCATTCTTGGGAAGGAAAAAGTTAAGATTCATTACATCCAAACCTAATACAATTTGATTGCATAACGACTTGACAACATAAATTTTCATACGAAGTGAAAAACTATCAATTGAAATATCAGAAATAAAAAAGCCGATGGGATACGTTTGCTTTGATTCAATTCCGTTTAATGTGATATCGCTACAATTTAAACTTGGAGAACCAATTTGCTTGTGTAACTCCACGCTGCATATCGTGACATCTGAACCAGTGTCAACCTAGACTATCGACTAAATGATTGTTTATTTCTACAGTCTTCATAATTCTATTTTTATCAGAAATTCGTTGTACTAAAGCTTGTTTGTCTCGGGGTTCTGATCTTGACAGTTCAGTTGATTTATGCCACAAACTTTTTACATTTAAAGACATTTTATCCCCTTGCGATTTGTTTACACAATGCTTGAGATGACTTATGCCCAAATTCCTAGCACAATTAAAACATTTGACCTTATTAACGTTTAGATTGATTTCGGTTTGATGACGAAAGCTTACTTCTATCTTTAACTTGAGTGTCTACTTTCGGTTTCGGATTTTTAAACTTACATTGTCCGATCTCATTTATCATAAATTTTTAGCCTTTGTTTAAATTCAGATATTGTTTCGCAACCATATAATATCGTTTCCTAACCACGAATCGGAATACCATCAATAAATATTTAATTAATGAAGCCATCTTCAATGTTACCTCGCGAACACATTTCTTTCATTTTCAAAAAAATACTCATCTAAAGATTCATTAGGCATTAATTTACGTTTACATACATTTCATGCAACTCAGCAGAATTAATAGCTTTACCATATTCAGATTTCAAAAGCTTTTTTAACTTGCACCAGTCATTAACTTTAGGTTCACTCTGAATAATAGTTTTCGCTTACCTTTTAATGATCTTTTAGCAAAAACTAATTTATGCAAATCACTCAATTTAAAGAATTTATAACATCTTCAATTCATCAATCCATTATCAACATTTCATATGCATACCAGAAAAAGGATTAACAATACTTTCAATATCAGAAAAACTAGATGAGGTTAAAATGTCTTGATTGGAAGCTGCATACTGTTTACTTGAGATCTTTAAACCAGGATTGTCTCTTTGATATCATCAAGCCTTACTTCAGAAAATTTATTAATAGTTTCATCTCAATATCTATTTTCTTCATGCAAATATTTTCAAATAATACAGATAAATCACATAGGAAAGAGACAATTCGGGTTACGACTTCGTTTTTGAACCTTCGATTTATGCACAGTACATTGCAAATTTTAATTAACTCATTCAAAGTAAAACTATTCTGCACTGAATCTTTTTCTTATTAAATCTTAGAATGGGTTTAATATAAAGCCAAAATTCACGTAATCTTTTTCCGGTTATTTCGATCTCATCAGTATTAAAAATAAGCTTATGCAAACTTTTGATTTAAGAACTTTTACTGTCTTTAAAGCTTCCAATTCTGGAATTCTACAATTCATATTGGAAAGAAAGTTTGTATTACCCGACAGATGATCATCGTAATTGGGTAATCACACTTTATACGAGTAATCCAATAAATCGAATAACTGTGACAACAGTTCACGTCACAGTTCAAACAGTTCTGTTCGCACATTTGGAATTCGCCGCACGGTTTGGTCGCCATTTTTTTTGTATATTTGATCATTCCCCACACATGAGAGCACGAAGAATAGTTAAATGGTTTATTTAATAGAAAGAAATAAAAGTAATAAAGAAAGTATATTAAAGATGAAGTTACGGTATGCAGGTTAACATAATGTAAAGGCAACATCGAAAGCACAATATAAGTTTCTAAACTTGAAGATTGTGAGCGTCTGCTCTCGTCTGCCCTCCCTCTCACCGGTCTCAGCGCTGTCTGGGATGATTATTACGCGCTGGGTGATGCTATACTGATGACGTCATAACGGGCAATTCTCATTCAGCATTAGACGGTATGATTTCCCACATATATTTATTTAAGTTAAAAAATATACTGCAGCAAACCCTACAAGAAGCTTTATTTATTATGAATTCAAATCACTATTCTAGTGTGTTTTACTGATGAAATCTACTGTCAAAAAGTTCATGTCTGTTTTATTTTAATAAAACCTTTGAAACTGAAGCTTAGCATAAAATTAAGAAATCAAAATGGTGTATGCATTTGTTTTCTTTTAGCCACATACATATGCAAAAAAGGCAGGTGATCATAAAAGGGGCAAAATGAGTTGGTTTGTAAGTTATGGGTTGGATTCAATTCAAACATCAATAAACATCCAGTTTTCTGTGTATGTATTATTTCTACTGTATTTTTTTCACATATGAGGTACCTTGCCATCCAGCATAAAAGTGAAATATCTCCAGGTTTGTAGTGTCTTGGTATAAGAAGATGTACCCCCCCCCGAGTATTTTTAAAAATTAGCTCTAAAATTTAGCTCTCCTGTATTGATTTGTATTAGTTATAATATCTCTTTTTATTCATTTATTTGATTCTTCCTTTCACATTTTGAAATTTAGGTTCATTCCAAATAAAATTCACCCTTTTTTATGATTTATATTTTAAAATAACTTTTATGAATTTTTTGAAAAAAAATTTTGAATTATGACCTATGAAATTTTTACCATCATCTTAAAGTAGATGTTATTTCTAAGCATAGTTGCGAAAAATGAGAGTTTTTTAGTGAAAATATCCTAAGATATACATGAATGTATACATGAATGGCATGTTTTGAAATTTGGCATATTTGTTATAAGTGATAATAATGCCATGTGTGGTTTACGTACTTTGTTAAAATGATTTGAAAGTATGAATGATGGTCATTTTTCTGCTCTGTACAATTGAAAAAAAGGAAAGGAAAATATGCTGCTTTAAATTAAAAAGTTCACCAAGTGAATAATTCTTGGCACGAACTGAAAAAAATGGACCAAGATAAATTTTTTAATTTCTCCATAAATTTCTTCACCAAAAATTACAAAATTTAATATCTAGGCATAATTTGAGTCATAGAATTGAAATATGGAAAAAAAATTGGTATGTTATTTCAGAAATTCGATTTTGTATCAAAAATACCTATGTTAGAATAATGCTATATATAAATCTAATATATATCCTAAGTCACACTTTCAAGACAAAAAATGCAAGTTAAATTTCGACAATCAGTCCAGTAGAACGAGAGATATAGAACTGTTCCCCCCCCTTTTTTGTGCAAGGTGTACACATGTCTAGTAAGGCTGAGCAGATATAAAGTCAATCACCAGTCATATTAACATTTTTACTACATAAAATGCAATCTAGAGATCCAAAGAGACCTAAACAAAAGAAATTAGCTGAAAAAAAGATATTCCGATGGTATGGCATATGTGTGGTTGAATTCAGTTATCCAAAAGACCCTCCCAAGTGCTTAGCTGTTTCCTTGTACATAGCTGCTTGCTTTTTAGATATCTAATTTAAAAATTTAATAAATTTTTTATGTTAACTAACAAACATATCAGAAGGGCTCAACAAAGATAGTTTCTTTGTAAGTTTATATATGTTTTAATTTCCAGGAAAACCAAAATAGCTAAGAATCGACTGGACAACTATTTCTCTACCAGAAGATAAGAGTTGTCAATAATTACAATCAGACTCTGCAGCTGAAGGATGCAAATTGTGACTTATCTGGATTGCAACTTGAGAATAAGATAAGATAATAAAGATGATAAATTTCTGTTCTTATCTTTCAATCTATTTTGAAAGTGCCAAATGAACTACAGAGATTTTTCCACCAAAATTATCTGAGTTCAAACTCAAAGGTTTTCTGAAGTTTGAAATATTTAGAAAAAAGGACCCGAACCACCGCATGTGGTAGTTTCTTTTTAAGAGCCATCAGCAGAGACATGCATCCAGCCATCAATAGTATTATTTCATGGATGGTAGTAGTTGCACTAAATTTTAAGTTCAGTTTCTCATGATATATCATTATGAATTGGGACAGCAAGGTGAGGTTTCCAATTGTATGCATCTAAATCTGTTTTTACATGTTAGGTACATTCCGGAAGAATATGTGTAAAAAAATCATCCAGTCTGTATGGAAGAATACAAAAATGATTCTGGATCCAAAAAAAAGTGGGGGTAAAAATAATAAAAATAATATCTTTTGAATCTGAAAATATTCGTTTTTAAATTTTAATTTTATTTCAACAAAATATGCATGTAATTAGATGTAATAAAAGTGTGTTACATTTGCATTTGAGATGAAAAAATTCATGAATTAAAAATCTGTTTTATATAGCAAGATTTTATTCATTTTCACTTCCTGGCAATAAACAGTACACGTATTTGTATATGAATGGAATATTACTGCTATAACTAGAAAAATTGTTAGCAGATTTTAAGTATGTAAAGTGCTAATGAAATTTAATGTTTTTATATTAAAATAATAATGATATTAAACATTCATGGAATTTATTTTATTTTTATTGTATTTGTTTTATATTATTTAGGTATGATTCTTGAAGAATCGAACTCAGTAACCTCAATTCTCCGGCTGTTAAATTCAGGTTTCTCTACTCTAGTTGTATATTTGTCATCCATATTATCAACATTAAGCAGTTTCTTCATAAATAGTGTACGTAGTACATGTAAATATACTTTTATTTGTGTATTAATTTTCAGGTATTTATATTCATAATTTCATTTGCTTCAGGCATTTTGTGAATTAAGTTATTACATAAAAATTGAACTCTTGTTTTTAATTTTGTTATTCATATTAAAAATTCATTTTGCACTACAATAGTAAATTACAGGAAATTGCAAATGATGCATTTTATTTTGATTTGATATATTTTTGGTATTTATAAATTATTAATCAGTTAGGTAAAAAGACCATATGTGTGTTAAATAAAAATTTTAAAGCTCGTTTAGAAGTATTAGATAAATTATTATTTCTTATGTTTTGAAGTTTTTTTTTTATTGAACAATTTCATTTTTTAGCAACTGGAATCTTTCATACACATATATAATATGCATTGCTTCTTGTATAGCAATTTCTCTTAAGAGTATTGTCATTCAGCGAAGCATAAGAACTTTACGTCTTAAATTTAATCAATCTGTAATTGCCTAATTAATTGAATGATTTAAAAGCTGTAACATACTTAATAAGTTTAATCTTTATTTTAATTTATAGTGATGTATCTAATTAATAATTTTTACTTGTATGTATATTTACTGTCTTTTCATAATTAATAAAAGATGTATTATATAGCTTGTTTAATATTAACATTAGTTTAAAAAAAACTTAAAAACGTAATAAAGACCTCCTTATATATAGAGGAACTTGAGTATATCAAGTAGTAAAACTTGTCATCCATAATAGTAAATCTGTCCTTTTGAAGTCATAAATATATGTTGCATTTCTAAATGAATTTGTATTTTTTCTTAACTTCTAATATTTATTTATGGTCATGAAAAGTGCTAGATATGGGTTAATAATTTGTAAAAATATTGAATTTTTTACAAATTTTTTACATTTTGCTTTAATGAAGATTTTTTTTTTTTTTTTTTTCTTTTTCTTTTTATAGCGAGAATTAATTGTTGAAACCTCCAACGAAGAATCAACTTGTTTTTCAAGTTTCTCAGGAATATATGCAATGTTCCCCAGCTTTTCTGGGTTATATACCATTTTTCCATCAGGAAAACTATTTAACATTTTCTCAGATGATTCAAAAACTGAAGAAAAACCCTCGCATGTTTCTCAACACAGCTTTGAATTTTCAGATGCCCAACATTTGCTGAGTAAAGAAGAACTCAAGATACTGATTACAGATATTTTAAAAGTATGCTTGTCTTTCGTTTTGTGATTCATTGTTTTTTTTTTATTTAAAGTAAAGAACTACTTAATTTGGACCATATATTTGGACCAAAAAGTTCAATCAGTACGTATGTAATTAAGATTTATGTAAGTGACTTCATGTGAACTTGACCATAATAGATTTTATGATTTATCCTTAACTACGAGCCTATCTTCATCTTATTATATTTAGTGCTATATAGGCTTCATCCTATAAAACCATCCATGGTAGCTTTGTTATCATTTGAACTTTGGTTTTTAGAATATCTTTTTTATCAATAAAAAATTAACCTTCTTAACAATATTATTTTAATTGAAAAAATTTCATTGTAATATTTTAATCTAGTAACTTTCTAGTTACTATAAATGGTGATTTACCAATGTATTTATACATATAAATGGTGTTTTGGTAATTCTATATTATATCAAAGTAATAATGTTAACTGTGATTGCTCTTTAAAGCATTACTACTGCATAAAAATGGCTGGTTGAAAAATATGCTTTAGAAATTTCTCACTTTGAAAGGAGGGATTGAATTTCTGTTGTATATGACTTCTACTCTAAGATAATTTCTTATTTTAGGAAGAGAAAATAAGTAGTATAAGAAGTGAAATAAAGAAGCTTCGTCTTGAATTTCAGGTATAATGGCTTTTTTTTAAACTCTTCTTAAAAAGGGTGTTTATAATTATCGATTAACTGCTTCCTTTGCTATCACTGGCTTAAATATGTATATGCTGATGTATTTCTTGTGCTTGCTTGTGATATTGCTGTGTTAAATCTTTGGAGCAGTTAAACTTAATAGTTCCAAATTCTTTTTATACATCATAGTTAGAAAATGATTCAGTGTTTTAAATCTTTTTGGGAAAATTTTGTAAGTGATTACTATAATAAAGTTTGAGCTAATTTTAAGAAGTTTCATTTCTAGCATCCACATGGTTAAAATTTCTAAATAAAACATTCTTTATTCAATTTGTACATTGTATGAATCAAGTGACGATTCTTTCAGATAGTGATTAAAACATTTGTATCCATCAGTGATTCTGAAACAGTGGCTTTAATAATAATAATGGTGTCATTTTTTTAAAGTATATAATATGAAATTTTACACATTGTTATAGTTCATGATAATATAAATTATAAAGTAGAAATTATAAAGCACTGAAAGTATTAGCGGTCACTATCTTTTTATGAAGATGTAGTTGTGTTTAGGACTCAAATCTCTCCGTGTGTTAACTTACTCATAAATTTTGATGTGTTTTGCTTTAAAATTAAAAAAAAAAAAAGACATATTTTAAAACTTAATTGTTGTTTAATTTCTCTAATAAAAAAGTACTAATAGGGTGGTTTTCTTAAAAACCATGGAAGTCATACTTAATAATTGTATTTCCTTAACTTGATGGAGTATATTAAAAAATTATCAGTTTAATTCATCTTCCTTTCTTTCTTTTTCTTTTCTCTCTCTCTCTCTCTTTTTTTTTTTTTTTTTTTCTTTTCCCTGAAGCACACAACTTCTAAATTTTTTTAAATGTGCAATTAGATTTTTGGTAATTAAAAACTTATCTTCTGTATGCATAATTTATTTATGTATGTTTTTCAAACTTTTACTCTTTTTTTCTTCAGTAAAAAATTAAATCCAATGTAAGAGGGTTGTGGACAGAGATCATGTTTGGAATTCCAAGTCAGTAGGAGGTTCCACTTTTGAAATAGTTACTTTCACACATTATATGCTTTTTGAAGAAATGCATTAACTTTTCAAGTATGAGTTGTAAACTGTTTTCTGATAATTGATATGAAATAGTGGATGTGGCAGCTTTCATTTCGTAATCTTCCGTCTTTTTCATTCTTTGTCATGTGCTGATAAAGTACAGAAATTGCAAGAACTGCAAGGTCTGGCCTGTATGAAGAAAGGTCTAAACTTTCCAGATTAAATTAGAGAAAATTAAAAATATGAAACCGTAATTTATGAAATAAAGAGCAATTGTGATCTAAAGGGTCAAAATTACACACACACACACACACACAAAAAAAAAGAAAAAGAAAAAAAAAAAAAAACCCCATATTATTATTTAGATCCATGCCGCCGTTTTGTTAGCTTGAGGAGGAAATCATTTTCATGCAAGATGGAGCCCCTCCCACATTGCGTACGGGTGCAACAGATGATACGACAGAAATCACAACAGAAAGAGTCATTAGCTGCTACTTTCCCACTGCATGGCCACCTCGGTCGCCTATCTTCCCATGCACTTGGCTATGGGGTTACTTTAGTCAAGGTCTATCAGGAGTGCTCCAGGACCTGGCTACGTTGAAGGATAAACACACACGGACTGTAGGGAGATTCTGCAGGATCTTACTTCCTGCTGTTTGCACTGTCACAGAATGCAATATTGGTCCACAACCCGCAGCCACATTGAACCTAATAATCAAATCAGTAATTTCGTGTTGTGCCTTTGTTACACTTATTTTTATACACAGTGCCAAATTCCCCTAGAGGTTGACTTTTAAATATTTTTTTTGCGGCTCTTCGTCCTACCCTTGTTAACTTCCTCCAAAATGGCCGTATTCTCACCAAAGATCGCGCTACAGAACACTGTGAGCACTGTCAGTTTAATTATGGCCACCCGTTATTTAGTGTGGTTGCGATACAGTTTTTGATGCATTGTTTATAATGCTCTTTTTCGTGTTGTGTAATTATGCAGTAGACCCCTGATTAACAAGGATGGCAAAATCATAGATAATCTAATAGCAATTATAAAAGGAATAGATCATATTATGAGTGACAGAAAAATACTGTAAACAGCTTAACTGTATTTTTAAGTAGCTTGATGTGGAGAATGAGTTCATTTGGTTATTTTCATTATGTAAATTAATTCAGCAATCAAAACTAGGGCACACTAGAAAACAGAAAATCATTGTTTCTATTTATATTACAATGGTAATCAGAAGATTAATTGCTGTACACTTATTTTTATTGGATGATTTAAGATATATTCCAGGTCATATACAAATTACGTATTGTTGTGGATGAAAACAATTCCTAAATGTTGTGATATCATCTAATACTGCTGCAATTCCTTGCATTTTTTCCTCCTTTTTGTATTTTCCATAGAATTTTTTTTTCTCTAATTGTTTTTGACAGTAATTGTTTTTGATTTAATTAGCAATAAATAAAATCTTTTTACAATGGGCCCAGTTAAATTACCTTCGGTTAATTAGGAGATTGGGTGACTATATGCAGATTGATCGTAATAAATCACAAATATGATGTATCATAAGAGAAAAAGTTCAGGAAATACAGTATTGCACCATTTGAATTTTCATACTTACAGGCAAAATATTGGTTACAGCATGATTAAATTTCATTGATGATTAACATGTACCATCTTATGTTTGTTCTTCAAACAGTAATGATCTAAGTGAGGTTACAATCACACATGCTCCAGTATGCTCAGCATTCATTACACCATTTAGGTTCCCAATGTTATAAAGAAATATTATGTTTAGAACACAGTTTCACCGCTGTTAAGTACACTGTAACATTCACTATACTATTTTATTGTCCGTAGTTGAGATAAAATGCTGTTGGTTAGAGCATGCTCTATGGTTTTTCATTCTGACTTCAATTAATTCAAGACCATTAAATCATGTACTGACCAACTGAAAATGATAAACAATTGAGATTCTATTTGTAATGAGCCAATAACATGTTATTGGCTAAAAGAGACTACCAGTGATTTTAAGTACAGTGAGACATTGATTTATCATTTTTCCATGGAATGGAGGGGGGGGGGGAATAATGAATGCTGGAAATTATTAAACCTGGAAAATGACTACATGTAAGACAAGTAAATAATATTTATTATTATACATCATGATAAGTTGTAACAAGATCAGTATTAATCCCAGGGTTAAAAAATGTGGACAGTGCTGCTTTATCACTTTTATTCTGTTTCTATCTATAATCTATATAGCTATTAAATGTTATTGTATTTTTATTTACATATTGTAAAATTGTACAGATATTAAGAAAATTATATTCTTGTATTTAGCCCCTTGCAGAAGACTTGAAAAAGCTAGAAAAAGACCTAATTCAAAGACATGAAATGTAAGTGATATTATAAAAATTTTAATTTTTTTTATTATGAAATCTATCTTTAACTGTGTTCTAAGTTCATTCTTGTAAATTTTTTTCAGAATTACTACATCTAAAACAGTTGAATCTTTAATTACGGAACACAAATTAAATTATGATTATCTGCATACAAAGCTTAAAAACGTTGAAAAGAAGTTAGAAGTTTTAGATACCGTGAAGAAAGGTTGTGATGAAAAACTTAATCCAGCAGAAATTTTATCTTTAATCGAAAGCTATCTCATAGCTGCTTTAAAAAATGTAAGTAATTCATATTTTAAAATTTTGATACTCTGTTTATAAACAACTAATTTTTAGTGACTTCCCCTCCTTCTTTCTGGCCTTAAAATGTAAAGATTGCTGTACATTTTCTTTTAGAAATCAAAACAACTGTGCAGGCTGTTTGAGAAAGTTGGTTGCTGGTTTTTATTTCTTAAAGTATAGCTTCTAGATCTGTATATCTAATTCAGAGTTGATCAAAGAAAAATAGAGAATTTTATGAAAACACTTTCATCACTGTAGGTGGGATGGTACTGTAAATACAAAATCTAACTTTATTATTTTTATTAATCTTAAATTCCAATTAAGAAGTAAAATATTCATTATGCGTTAATAAATTGTAAAAAGTTTCATACCATTACTCCCAGAATTAATGTGAATATTTGAAAATTAATTAACTTGTGTAACATTTTAATGCTTTTTACTGACCAAATGTCGAGAATTTTTAATAACATTTTATAAAGCATTTACTGAAGTTGCTTATTTTGGCAAAAGCAGTAATAAAATTTATACTCAAAGTCTTTAAAAAATATATTATTATGTCTGAGGCAAATTTTTATCATTTTATTTGAAATTTTTTAATTTATTTTATTGTTGGAGCAATAGAAAAGATATTAATTCTGAAAAAGTATTTGTGAAAGAAACAGCCTTTATATTATCATAAACTTTGTAATGATAAAACATAATTACTGAAATGATATTATTTTTCACCCAAAACTTGTTTAATCGTAATTCATGCATGTTTAAAATGTCATTTTATTTAGGTGCTTAAGCTGAATGCTGCTACTTCATTCTGGAGTCAATTTCTAATAGCTGAATGTGGTGGTTGTATCAAATGTTCATGATTTTGCTTACTTATAATGTAAATAAATATGAGCCAGTTTCCCTTAGAAAATGTTTGTGCAGACATTATTTTTCTAAAATTTAAGTCTTCTTAAATTATTAACACTATTATACCTTGCAAGCAATTACATCGAAGGTTACAAGTATCTATAAAACTCCAAATTTAGACCATACCACATGAAACCTGATGTTGTCATGCCAGAACATTGGTAGATCTGGATCTTTTTGGCAAATTGATCCCTGTTGCCCAAAGATTCAACATTATATCACAGTATGATGCAGTAATCAAACCTGCAGATATGAATACCACATCATACCTGCATCAGTATATGTGCCAGAAGATCAGATCTCCTGAAAATCAGTATATAGGTGTGTACCATATTGTACAAATAATAACTTAAAATACCTGCAGATGTTTGCAAAAGCGAAGAATTTTTCTCAAGATAAAGGCTAGTTTCAGATAAAATGCAAATATTAGAATGCTTTTATAATGATTGAATTAACTGTATTTTTTCCATCTTCTTACCTTATCCCTGTTTTTAATCAGCTTTCATAAAAGGGTTGCCATTTGTGTAATGTTTTATTCTCTTATTTCTTCCATCAGTGTCAATAATTTTCATTTTAACTTTCATTTACGTGTATCTTATGCACATAATATATTTATTGATAAATGTTTTTATGAATGAACATTTGTTCTCATTAAAAATTAAATGCAAATTTTGCATGTATAATGAACAAATATTAAAGTTTTTATAATTTAAAATGTTTATTTCATATGACAGTTGACATCTTCACTTTTCACTGCACAGTAACTCCATTTTGAAAACCCATTACTGTAGTAATAAAAATTGGAGTTGTCTGCTAAATAAAACACAGTAAACATTTTAGCTTTATAGTAGTCTGTTTAAAAGCAAATATTTTATTTATTTAATTATTCCTGCCCACCCCCAATTTTTTTAATCCCCCCCTTTTTTTAAAGAAATTTCCTTTGAAGTAATAATTTGATGTGTGCACAAAGATTGTAATTTGGTCTTTTATTATCATTATTATCATTAAAGTTCGAGGTCTGGACTCGTTGGGACTTTGGTTCCAGATTTGAGATTTTTCCAGATATTAGAACATCAGTTTATATGTGGTAAGATAACATGTAGAAATTATAAGATTAAAAACCTGAAATAGTGGTTTATGAATTAATGAAGTATCTGTGACCTTAAAAGATCATAATTTACAAAAATATGCTCAATATTTATTTGTTTGCTTTATTAAACGTTTCTTTCAATATAAGTTGTTTCAGTTACAAATTTCCATTGTTCAAGTCCTATAATTACCGAGTCAAGAATACCCGCTAAATTGTCAATCAAAATTTTTCTTTCTCAACAACCTCTGTGTCACTTTCTTCAGTAACGGTAGCCATATTTTCTGGATTTAGAACCATACTGCAGATTTCACCATCTGTTACGTAATTATGAGTGGGGCATGGAAGAAGAACCATGCCCAATGAAGTACTTCTTTTATATTCACTTATTACCACCTCTCCATGTTTCTTCATGAATTTCATAAGTTGGAAAATTTTGCTTTGTTTGCAATATCTGATAAACTTCAGATTCACAGCTATCATCATAAAGCTTGTCTAGTGTCTGCTATACACTTTTGGCAGTATATAATAAGACTGGCAACTAAACACATTTTGTTCCACTAAATTTTGTCTTGCTTCTATTGCACTCTCACAAAGTAAAGTTTGAATTGCATTAGCTTAATTATTTATTATACTTAAGCCTATTTTCTGCACTTGCTTAAGGTTTGTCCGAGTCACGAATAAATAACTTCTTTCATATACTTAAGGCTTATCCAGAACCGATGCTAACATTTTGTAGCGTGGTTTAATTTCTGTGGTTCCGACATTCTGCAGCTAAGTACCTTCCTAAATTCTAAAAATTTTGTGTCCTTGTGCCGTCCCTTTATTCTAAAGATTTTGCCATACCCTAATGTTATTACTCGGTGCTTCTGTAAATTCTAAAAATTTTGTCTCTCCTTATTCTGCCACCCAGTGTGGCCACATTAACTCTGTCACCGATCATGGGCTTATCTGAATAATAAATCTCTTATTCTCAATTCAAACAACTTGAATATAATCTTTTGGCTTATTGGTATCATTTACAAAATCTGTTTTTTGCATACTTTTCCTGGTCGACTCTACACTTCACAGCACAGTCTGAACCAGAAGTCTGTAATCATCGCCAAGCGTAATGTCAACATAAAAAGTTACCATGCTGTTTGCTGCTTGTGTCATTTCTCAAGCTGCTGTGTATTGATAGTTGAAGTGCTGAAAACAAAATGTGATGAATAATGATTCGCCACGCTAGCATCAAAGATATAAATTATCCAGTATATGTAAAATCAGTGATGTTGCAATGTAGAATGCCTCAGTTTGAGTTGTCTGTGAAACAAAAAAAGGTGTCTACAGAGCCAAATTATTGATCATACAGATTTATGCTAATAAATGATTTTTTCTTCAATATGGAGGTATTTTATTTAGTGCCAAAGTGAAATTAAGAATTAGAACTCTCCACACATTTTATTGTTATAAAATGTGCATGTGTAAAAACATACAAAATGCACACACACACAAAAAAAAAAAAAAAAAAAAAAAAAAAAGTTATTGGTGGTCCAGATTTTGTATCATTCTGGATATTGGCCATCCAGATTTCGGACTTTGTGCATTATTAAATGTATTATTTTTATTATATTATATTATTATAGAAAGATAAATATATTTTAAAAAAAACTTGTGTTATTTTTTTAATTTGATTTAGTGAATAAAAAAATTTCTTTTGAGGATTTATTAAGTTGATTTTTTCAGAGAAATTTTTCCTAAATAGCATGCATTATTAAGATATTGTGAAATTTTATTTGCATATTATGACTTAAAAATATTTTTCTTACAGATTAGTGATAGTAATACAAAAGGAAACTTCACTTATCAATTTTTCACAAATTGGCTAAATTCAAATTTTGTCAATCAGGAAAAACTGTCTTCTGAAATTAAATCTGAAATAGAGAAACTTAGAGGAGATTACCAAGACAAAATGAAATCAGATATAGATATAACAAAAACAATAGAAACTGTTATTCACAAGTATGTAGAATCTCTGAAAACAAATTTAAGTTTATTACATGATTCTCAAGGCTCTAGTCATCTTTATGGAGAAATGTTTTCTATGGATGTTATAAAGAAATTAGTAAAAGAAGCTATTATGTTATATGATGCAGACAAAACTGGTTTAGTTGATTATGCTCTAGAATCTGGTGGTAAGTGTAATACACTTTTAATTACTTTCTTTGCAAATTGAAATGAATGCATTTTTTAGCAGAACTATAAAAATTTTCTGATTATAGGTGGCAGTGTTCTGGGCACAAGATGCTCGGAAACATATGTTGAAAAAAATGGGAAATTCAGTATATTTGGTTTACCTCTTTGGACTAGCTATAACTCGCCAAGAACAGCCATCCAGGTATCTTTTACTGCATATTTATTGAAAAATTTTTTTATTCTTTTAAATTCAGTTATGTTGTAACTAGAACGCCCGGCGGTCATACGAAATGGCTGCTGTTCCAGATATTATAAATTGTAATTAAAATGATTTGTGCAAAGGTGTCTGCTAATTTAAACTGAATTACCCAGGGCAGGCGGTGAGAACACCCCTTTGCTTACTGCCCCACGGAGTTTCCCCCTTCTACTTTTGCTTAATTGCTTAAAGTAGAGTGCAATGAAGGAAACCACTGGCAGTACATTCCTAAAGAGCTCATCTCAATCAATAAAGGTGATTTAAATAATGAAATGTTAATTCACATGTCAAAGATATCTTTGTACACAACATTTCTTGTGTAGATCTTTTCATCATTTTTAAGCTCGCCTTGCAGAGGACCATCCATTATTTTTAATTTTACGTGCGTTCTTTCACGAACTCTTGAACAGGCAACATAAAGTTGACCGTGTTCAAATGCAGGTTCAGGTAAAAATATGCCAACATGCTTAAACGTTTGGCCCTGAGACTTATGGATGGTCATAGCAAAGGCAAGTTTTACAGGAAATTGTCTATGTCTTAATTGAAATAGCAACCCTGTGCCGTGGCAACTTCACCCCATTGACGAGTACAGTTACGCAAGCAACCAATAAACTACCGACGACAGACTGACTCTTAAGCCGCATATATATGTAGGATGAAGTAACATCATTTTTTTCCAAAAGGGCTGGCTCCTAGGCTTAGCGAAGCACACCTTTGTATTCTGCAGGTCAGTGGCACGTCATTTTGACCATTTGCGTCTTTTTGGGACTTTAATTAGCTGAGATATTAATTAAAAATTAATTTTCCGCTACATTTTTTCTTCTTTCTCCACTTTCTTTCTTGGTTTTTTCCTATTAGAGGGATTTGGCTACGTGCTAAATTTTTTTTTCTCAAATTTCTATGAAACGGCGCCAAATTGGAATTTGAGACGCGTATCCTCGGATTCCAAAAAATTCTCTAAATCCATTGATACTGTTCTCATCTTCATACGACTTTAATCAGCCGAGATATTCATTAAAAACTGCGAAAACGGTAATTTCCACGCTCATTTTTCTGAATGGCAACAATAAACTATCAGCGACACACACTTTAGCCGCTTATTTGACAGGAAAAATTTAAGATTGATTTTAAAAAAGGCATAATCTGTAAACATCTGATTATATTCAGAGTTTACCATTTAAAACTAAAATATACAAAATTGCAATGTAATTCTTCTTGTGTTGAAATTTCTGTTCAGTGCTTGAAACAATTTTGAGGTAAATAGTTACAGTAGGCCTCTTGAGTCTCTAGAGTCATGAGCATATATCAATGCAGGAATATGAAAAATGTGCAATGCACTCACCAGGATTTGAACATTGGATTGCCAAATGGATGTGCTATCCATTTACAGATGAAATATGCAGTAAGGTGGGAAAAAATATAACGCACATAATATCAAATCCTATATTTAAAGTGAGCTGTTTAAAAATGGCAAATGGCAAAATTAAACTAAGCTATAGCTATGCACTTTTTCATTGGGCCATATTTTCAGCAACACATGTTTCTTACAAACAAATTAGCAACAATTTCTATTTTGCCAGGATATGAAATCCATGTAGTGGAGATAGTTAAGAATTAAGAAAAACATGTCATGCTTTTGAAGTGATAATTTGATGCGAGTCTTTCTTCTCCCTCTCAAAGCATATAAAAATTTAGATCTGAACTTTGTACAATTGTAAACATTCACAGAGTTGCCAACTCTCCTGATTTTGGTGGGAGACTCCCAATTTCCAACCGTACTCCCACAAACATGAGTTACAACATATTTCTTCTGACTTTCTCTTATTCTTAAAAAATTTCTCATGATTTTTATGATACGAGCCAGTTTCCCTTAGAAAGTCCTCCACGAAGGCATCCCTCCCCTTAGGCAGATAGCCCTAGTGTGCTTTGCCATAATTAAAATACACCATACACCATGATTTTTATGTAACTTATACGTTTAATACTTTGTTATTTTCACCCAAAAAAGTGATTTGGGGCTTCTGAAAGTGGTTGGTTTTTCTCTTGATTACATATAAAAAAAAACTGACTGAACCACTGAGCACCACTGAGCACTGTGAGTTTTATGTGCTTTTGAAAAATACTTTTAAGAAATTGCAATCTTTTGTCTTAGTTATTTGTGCAAAAATGGTAAAATACTAGTTATTTGGGCCAAAAAGGTAAAATACTCATATATATTTCAAAAATCATACACATATGACTTCTCTATTATTTTATCAAGGAAACCTAATACATTTACGATGTGTACTGTTTGTCATTGTGATTTTTCAATTTCACATAGTGGATCGGCCGATGCTCTTAAACATGCGTGTATACAAAAACACAAGGATAATGCGAGTTGTGTTGAAAAAAATGAAAAATTAAATTTGCTTGTGGAAACAAAGGACCAAAATGTTATTACTGCAGAATGACAATTCTCTGCCTTTTTACTGGAGCACAATGTGCCTCTGAATGCATGGGATCAAGCTGCAACTTTATTTTAAAAAATGTTTCCCAATAGTGAAACTGCTAAAATATACTTAAGTGCTATTACAAAAACGGCTGCAGTTGTTAAAGCTATGGGTAAAAAAAAAAAAAAAAAAAAAAAAAAAAAAAAAAAAAAATCTTCAGTGCATTGAGTACATAATTACATACTACATAAATTTCCAATCAGCAATGAAGTGATTTTACATGCAAAGTTGCAGATGTTTCTGTTCTAGCAAATGCATATTTTTTCCAGTACAATATTTTTTAAATAGATTTCCAGTTTTACTTCATTTAGTTTTTAAAAACAAAATATTGATGTTGTAACTGCTAAAGTACAGCCACAATTTTGCAATTTTCAATTAGAAAACTTTGATAAAGTTATAAAACCAACAAGGATTGGCACCCAGTGGTATTAAATTGGGAGTTGTGCTGATGGAACGAGCAATGGTAATGACTTGGAGCTGTAAATGTGCTGATGGAATTTTAACCACTTTTGCTAAAAAGACGTGCACGTCGAGATGCATTTGTCTCAAACCGCGCGCAAAAATGAAAATAACGTGGTGCACACGTCGCCTAACAACGAGATTGTTTATTTCTCGAGTTACAGCTCTGGATTGCACTTGCAGACGTGGTGTAAATGAAACACTTTACCGCTTGTTATATTGTGGCGCACGGCACCTCAACCGTGAAGTTTAGTCATAGTGCAAGTGGTTAAAGTACAGTGAAAATTTAGATCTAATATTAATAATTACACATTAGAAAAACATTTATTAGCAAAAGCAGGCCTACATGGCAGTTGCTATGAATAAAATTACAAAGCTCTGACACTGTTCTTAGTATTTGTTTAAAAACTGATAAAAGTATTATTTTTCTATTAAAAAATACAAATAATTTTTTTTTATTTAAATATTTTTGGATCATTTGCGTTTAAAAATTAGTAATTCACATTTCAGAAATTAATTCATTAAAAAAAATTTTATATATATATTTTTATCATTTAAAAAATCTTTTTATCATTGAGAATATTCTCCTAATTTTTTAGTTTTGTAGGATGACAAGTATGCATTAGATTAATAAACTTCTCCTTCTTGAGTGGAGAGTCTTTTTGGATTCTTTCACAGTTATTAGTATAATTTCATTATTTAGGTTTGTATAATTACATACTTTATTTCCATAACCTTCTGTTCATTGGAATTAAATCTAAACCTTTAAAGTATTAAAAAATTAGTGAGCAAAATCTCTGTTATTAAATAGTAAAGAATCTATATTTGTACATCACATTGTGCAAAGATGGGACTGCACCTAAATCAACCAAGTTTTGCATCCATGTAGTCCCGCATTAAAACCTTAGCACCTTGGAGACTGAATTTGATTTTTTTTAACTTCATGTTTTTATTCAAATTCAATAAGGAATTTTTATGAATAATCTCATTAATTTAAAAACAGTCTCTTGCCACTGCCAGAAATGATACATTTTTATATTCCACTGTTGCCATTCAGCAAGGTGTAACATGTTTAGCCTTCAAATTTAATCAACAAAATGTGATTTAAAAAACAGTTTGTTACCCATCTGTTGCTGTTCAGCAAGGTGTAAGATATTTAGCCTTCAAATTTAATCAACAAACTGTGATATAAGAAGCACTTTGTTACCATCACCCAAAATAAAATACGTTTATCATCTGTTGGCTAATGTTATCATTTGGCAATGCATAAAATAATTTTTAACTTTCAAACTAAGCATTTAAAAATAATTTTTCTTAATGTTTTTTCAACTTTTTTATCCGATTGATTTACACTTTTTTCATTCGTGATCCCTTTTGATCCTCAAGATTGTTTCAAGACCCCATATGTATAAAAAATAAAATAAATTTTAATTAAATAATTTAATTTTTAAAAAAGTTTTATTATTAAGCATCGCTTTTTTCACACATATGCCAGAAGAGCAGAAGCACAGAATATTTAAAAACAACGTAACTTTCGAATTCCCAATAGTGTTAGGGTTTACTGTATATTTTTTTATATTTGCTATATTATTTCTTTGAAAACTAGCTGCTCAAGCAGCCAGTTTTCTAAAAGATTAATCATAAAAAAGAAAAAAAATATATAATGATTTTAATGATCCAGCTTATGTCATTTTATAAAAATATTTAATATTCTAATTAGACATTTCATTATTTAAATGCATTTTTATTGAAATCAGTCATATTAAAAAGAAGCATAAATATTTTTATGAGATGTATTTATTGCTTTTCAATCGTTTGTTTTACTACTCAGGAACAGAAAGATTAAATTAGAAAATGAAATATGTGCTTTATTGAATGGCAACACACTGGTGCATGCAGATAATAAGTACAGTACAAAGTCCGAGATCCAGACTCGTCAGGATTCAGTAATCCCGGATTTGGGATTTTTCCGGATATTAGATAATCAGTTTAAATATA